TAATCATTAAAAAAATTGCAAATCAATACCTATGAGATACAATTTTACACATTATTATAAAAAAAAACCAAAAAATAACAAATGTTGATAAGAGTGTAAAATAATTGGAACCCTTGTACATTGTTGGTAGGAATGTAAAATGGTGCAGCTACTGTGGAAAACATTATGGTGGTTCCTCAAAAGTTAAACATAAAATTACCAGATGACCCAGTAACTCCACTTCTGGATATATACCCAAAAGAATTGAAAGCAGGGACTGATACAGACATTTGTACATCTATGTTCATAGCAGCATTATTCACGATAGCCAAAGGTGGAAATAACCTAAATGTCCATCAATGGATAACTAGCTAAACAAAATATGATATATATTTAATATATAATGAAATATCATTCGGCCTTAAAAAGGAAAGAAATTCTGATACATACTACAACATGGATGAAACTTTAAGACATTATGCTACATGAAATAAACCAAAAACAATAGGACAATTATTGTATGATTCCAGTTATATCATGTACCTAGAATAGTCAAATTCATAGAGACAGATAGTAGAAAGGTGGTTTCCAGGGTCTGGGAGGGAGGAAGGGAGAGTTATTGTTTAATGGCTACAGAGTATCACTTTGGAATGATGAGAAATTTCTAGAGATGGATAGTGGTGACGGTTACACAATACTGTGAATGTATTTAATGTAACCAAACTTTAAACTCAAAAATGGTTAAAATGGTAAATTTTTTGTTATGTATATTTTACAACAATAAAAAAAAAGAGAGAGAGAGACTCCCACTGGCTGGCAAGGCTATAAAGGCCAAGGAGTATAAGCTCTCTGGAAGCATGGGCTACATGGTGTAAAACCTAGAATTTGAAATTAGACAGACATGAGTTCTAGTCCTTGCTCTACTGATAAACATTACCAATGAGGCCTTGAGCAGAATATGCCATCTTCCCAAGTCATAATTTCCTTGTCTCTAAAATGGAGTTAATTATATCTACTGTAATGGATTTTGTCTATCCAGTATCCATTTCCCCTTCACATAAGAGGATGCCAAATTTCCCTAGGGAACCACTTCTTCTCCACCCTTAGCCCATAAGGGTTGGATGGCTGAGTCTACTCCCTAGACCAGGGGTAGGGAACCTTTTCATGTTGGAAGGCCACATTAATTTACCTGTGATCAAATAAGGCCGCATTTAAGAAACTTCAATTAGATATACTTAAAAATGTACATTATTTTATAAAAATCTAACTACTATGTACTCAGTTTCAAAAAATGAAAACTATTTGTTAATTTTAAAGCCAACTAACCTTTTAATGACTTTATGATGCCTGCTTTTTGTCGGAAAGCTTTTGAATGTTTGGTTGCAGCATGGAGGTCTGCAGTGTCAGTTGATCCTCTAGATGAGTATCAATCATTTTAACCTTAAGGGCATCTTGATTTGGGGTAGGTAGGAGAATGGAGATTCACAGCAATAAGTGGTTGACAAGCAAGAAAGAATTTTTCAGACATGTTGCCAAAGGCATGGATATTCTACTGCATTTTTCCATATTTCAATTGGATCTTTCTTAGCATCATACAATGACTTTAAAATGTCATCTACTGAGAGCTCAATCAATTCCATCTGTACTTCTTTCGGTGCCTTAGGGATATCAACCAGGTGAGGCTGAAATGCTAATTTGAGTGTGATGTCATGATTCTCAAAGTCAGTGAACCTCTCATTGTATCCTCCAATGAATAGGTCTATAATAGCTGCATATTCTTCAAATGATTCACATGTATCATCTTGCTTAACAATGACCTTTGCTAACTGGGGAAAATGTTCATCTGAAATTTTCTTTTGAAAAAGTGTTTTAAAAAAAGATAGCTTTTTTTCTAAATGCTTGGATTTTTTTTTTTTTTTTGGCCATATATCATATATAGACTTAGTTTTACCTTGCAAAGAAATATTCAAGTTGTTTGGATTTGATATTCTATTTAACAGAAATGCTGTATTCCTATAGAAATCTTCTTTTGATAATTCACTTTGCTGATTCTGTTCTTCATGAAATTTAACTATCTGTTCTTGCAGAGGTAAAATTTTGGCTAACACCTGTCCCTGCGATAGCCAACGCACTTTAGAATGATATGGCAAATCCACACCAAATACCTCATCGTTCAACTTTAGCATGTTACGAAACTGAACATGCCATGTTGCATTTGCAGGGATATAGCTAATAATACTTATAACTTGTTGTAAAGTATCATTTAAAATAGTAGCTTTAACACAGAGATTTTGCTGATGCAAGATACAATGAAAAAAAAGACAGCATCTGGATCTGTTAATACTTTTTTTATCTGTGCAATAAACCCTTCATGTTTTCCTGTCATGGAAGGTACACCATCTGTGCATACACTCACTAAATTTGCCAAATTCAGTCCAACTTCACATTTATCTTGAAAGTTGTTGAAGATATCTATTCCCCGTGTTCTGTTGGTAAGAGTGCCCGAAGTGAGTAACTCTTCATAGCAAAGAAAATCTTGTGTTATGACCCGAATGAAGTATACAACGTGCACCAAGTCAGTAGTATCAGTTGATTCATCCAAAATGATTAAATAATATGTATTTTCCTTTTGAAGTATTGCATGAAGTGTTCTGTTAAGTTGAAGCCTAAGTCATGCTGCCAATCAGTTATGGTTCTCCTTGAAAGAGGCAGTTGTTTGTACTTTGAAATATTATTGGGGTCTAAGCATCCTACAACTTTGACAATGCATTCTTTCACAATTTCTGCATCACTGAATGGCTTCTCTTTTTCCCCCAAGTATATAAGCTATTTTATAAGTTGCTTCAGTGGCATTATTTCCAGGTCTTATTGCTGCCTGAAAGAATTATCTTTGCTTTTGCTTTTCATCTTTTAATTTCTTTCTTTCTTTCTTTCTTTTTTTTTTTTTTTGAGACCAAGTCTCACTATGTTGCCCTGGGTAGAGTGCCGTGGCATCAGCCTAGCTCACGGCAACCTCGAACTCCTGGGCTCAAGCAATCCTCCTGCTTCAGCCTCCCAAGTAGCTAGGACTACAGGCATGAAGCACTATGCCTGGCTAATATTTCTATTTTTAGTAGAGATGGGGTCTCGCTCTTGCTCAGGCTGCTCTCGAACTCCTGACCTCAAGTGATCCTCCCGTCTCAGCCTCTCAGAGTGCTAGGATTACAGGAATGAGCCACTGTGCCCAGCCCCATCTTTTAACTTCTGCAATACAACCTTTCATGCCTCTCCCTCTAATTTAAAATATTTGGTACTACGAGTGTTATAATGCTGATGAGCATTGAATTTCTTTAATGTTGATATTGCAGTATCACAAAGCAAGCAAATCATCTTATCTGTAGCAGAAACAAGATAATATTGCAATTCCCAATTATCATTAAAAAATCAATTTTCTTCCTTCAGTGTTCTCTTGGTCTTCTTTGACATGATGGACTGTTAAGCAGACAGAATTAAAAAATACTGTCGAGCTATGTAACTATTCACAAATTTCACTTCAAACAAAAATGCAGCACACTGCTGTCAAAAGGTGATAACAGACTGGCATGCTCAACCCCCATAAACTCTGACCAACCAGCCTCATGAGGTAGTGGTGTCAGTCAGGCAGGGGAAATTAGAACTAAATCGTGAGCACAGCAGTCATCAGTTTAGCCCTTATGGCTTACTAATATTCTAATTGTGCCAGTGAATCTGGGAGGATTATTTTGTTGAAATTTATTTTATTCTTTGGTATTTTAAATATGTTCTTTTAAAAAATAAAATAAAAATATAAAAGATGAACAAAAATGTATTAATAAAACTAAAAGTATTTGTTCTGTAAAATTTGGATTCAGTCAAAAGGCTGCAGATAACAACCTAGAAGGCCATATGTGGCCTTAAGGCTGTGGGTTCCCCACCACTGACCTATACTTTGGGGTGGGCATATGACCTGGGTCTGTTCAAGCAGTAAATCCCCTCCCTCTCAGCAAGGCAATTGGTTTAGGAATGGGCTTGAGATCCAAGGAAGCTCAACAGAGCTAATCCTAAGATTTTGCTGCAGCGGCTTGAAAGAATTTTTCTCTTTTGACAAGGGCTGCCAACAAGATAGAAGGCAATTGTGGAGCTGTTGGCAGCCATTTGTGACTATGAGGGGAAAGTCTACCAGAGAATAAGAAGACAAAGGAAAAACAGAGCCAAGAGATGGAGAGTGAGATTGCATCAAGGTAGGATTATCTAGTCTCTGGACCCAGCAGCACTTGAAGTCTACATTTGTACTTTTTGGTTACATGAATGAATACATTTGATTTTTTGTTTACATCATTGAACTGTCTTTTCCATTCCTTGAAACCAGAAAAGTCCTCACTAATGCACTTACCTTGCTTGGTTATTGGAGGAAGTAAATGTAATAATTATGTAGCAGCCTGGTACATTGTACTCTGTCCTATTCATCTTTAAATCCCACCCAGAACATGGTAAGTACCCAACGAATTTTGTTGGATGCATGGAAAGAGTCATGAGAACACAAAATTGGGAATTTGTGTCTGACTCCCATTGTGCAAGCTCTGAGTATAAACCCAGGAAAGCTTTGTGCTGCCCTTGTAGTGAGTTCCCTCCTTCATGAAGCTGAGACTGGCATGATGTGCAGGCAGACTAAAGTTCTACCAGTATAGGGGTATCACTTCAGGCTAATTAAATCAAACACTTGTTTAGTGCCTACTATGTACAAAGCACTGGTGAAAAGAACAGTAGGGAACACAAGCAGACAAATGCAATCAAAACACGATAAAGATTATTAGAGATGATTACTACTATGGTTTGAATGTGTCCCCCAAAGTTCACGTTGTTGGAAACTTAATCCTCAAAGCAACTGTGTTGAGAGGTGGGACCTTTTTTTCTTTTTTTTATTTCAAGATATTTTATTTTTAAAACAGGTCACGACACTAACCTTTTGGCCCGTTCAGCCATTGTACAAGCTACAAATGCTTGCTCAGCAGCTGAGGGGCCCTCTTTCGTAGCATGTCTGAAAAGTGAATAAAAATCCATATAAAACAAATATTCAAATAGTTTCCATAGGAACACAGATAAGTGTGACCCCATCTCCTAGTCTTCCATATTGCTGCATATGTGCAACCCTACTCTTACAAGACATGTCAAAACTAGCAGTAATTAAGTTAAATGGTCCCCCCAAATCCCTTAATTCAAGCTAAACTTGCAGTTAACAGCTACAAGAATGGTATCTACACATTAATACTAGCTGAAGCACAAGTTGCTGGGTGATGTTTCATTCCACTTTCCCAAGCACAAGACACAGGCAGAGTGCCGACGTCCTGCTCTTCTACTTCAGGTGGGAAGTGGGGGTTCTGGATTGGCTGCATGAGTTGCCATGTCGGTCCTGACATCACATAGTAGATAGTGGGCCTCTGGAATCCATTGAAAGTAGAAGCAGCAGCTACAGTGTAAGTGCTCATGTTTTCAAAGAGCATCCAGTCACCCACATGCATTTCGGGCAGGTCACAGTGCTCAAAAATCCGGTCAAGGCCATCACATGTTGGTCCCCATATGCTGGATGAATAATATTTCTCATCTGCTTTAGGTCTCTTTTGCAGAAGGGGCTTTACGTGCGCATGATCATAAAGGATGCAATTAAATGATCCATATACTCCATCATTCATGTAATACATAAAGGTGTGTTTGTTGGACTCATCTTCATGATCAGAGCCTATCTGTTCCTTTAATACGATTTTTTTGGCAATGATATTAACTGCGAGTGTGAAAGCTGACACAACATAATATCTGCCTGGCTCAGCTATGATTCTCACTCCAGAGTCTGATGGAAAATACTTATCCAATGCTGGGTTGATTACACTGGTGATCTCTTCAAATTTAAGCTTCACATCCTCAGATCCAGGAAAGGCACCACCAATAATCATGCAGATACATGCTGAAACCAAACTTAGCTCCCATGTCAAAGACACAGCAGGCATCAGAGATTGCCTGCACGAAGGTCTCAGGATCCTTATGGCCACTTCCTACGTGGAAGCTGACACCGATGACATCAATATTTAGCTCTTTGGCCCGTTCCAAAAGAATCCTGCTGGTTTTCAGTGTGGCACCGAATTTAACACCAAGTCGACAGACTGCTTTGGAATCATCAGTGGCAATTCGCAAAACCAACTTTGCCTTTGGATGTGCTCTGGCAACTTTCATCAGCTCAACTTCACTATCAAAAGTCATCATCTGTATCTTAAAGACATACAAATAGAAGTACCATTCGATCCAGCAATCCCATTACTGGGCATCTACCCAAAAGACCAAATGATACTGTATAAGAAAGACACCTGCACCTGAATGTTTACAGCAGCACAATTCACAACTGCAAAGATGTGGAAACAACCCAAGTGTCCATCAGTACATGAGTGGATTAACAAAATGTGGTATATGTATACCATGGAGTACTATTCAGCTTTAAGAAACAATAGTGATATAGCACCTCTTATATATTCCTGGATAGAGCTGGAATGCATTCTATTAAGTGAGGTATCCCAAGAATGGAAAGACAAGCACCACATGTACTCACCATCAAATTGGTATTAACTGATCAACACATAAATGCACATATAAGAACAACATCTATTGGATGTTGGGCAGAGGGGGAGGGGGGAGGGGGAGAGGAGGGAGGAGGGGACGGGCATTTGCATATACAAAGAGTGCAATGCGCACCACCCGAAGGATGGACATATTTGACACTTGGACTTGGGGGGGGGCAAGGGCAACATACGTAACCTAAACATCTGTACCCCCATAATATGCTGAAATAAAAAAAAAAAAAGAAAAAAAAAGTCATCATCTGGACTCCATTGTTGGCAGCATTCTTAATTTGAGACACTTGTTTACAAAGATTTGCATAGATGATCCTCTCTGGAGGCACCCGAGACTCTGCACCAATTGTATTTCGGTCTTGTAGCGCAGTCAAATCCTGTCCCGATGGCAGCGAGGGTCTTCACAATGGCTCTGCTGTCATTACATTTGACTGCATAAAAGTGGGTGACACGAGGAAGAGCTTTTAGCCATCTTCGGTGTTTCTTCAGAATGTCTCCAAGGTCTGCGACATAGAAGGCATCCTTATCACCAGAAGTAGAAACTTCATTAATTTTTTGGTCCAGAATGTCCTTGGCAGTAAAACCTTCATCAAGGAAGTGGCAGTCGAACTCTTCGTTACTAAAGTTGTTCATGGTTTCTCAATGTTCCTCTAAAATGCAACAAATTGGAAAACTAAGAGATGGAATTTAAAGAAATATTTCCAGCTTCTCAGAAAGGCAATTCTCCAGGAATAGCGCCCGTGGAGCAACAGCGGAAACATTCTCAGAGAGTCCGGGCGCCCCGGGCCAGCCCCGTGGAGAAGCCGTCCCGCCCCCGTCAGCGCCTGGCTCCCGCCCGCCTGAGACGCCACCCGAGGTGGCGCTGGAGCAGCTGGCAGAGGGGCGGCGGCGGCTGCAAGGACTGACCGAGAGGTGGGACCTTTAAGAGGTGATTAAGTCATAAGGGCTCTGCCATCATGAATAGATTAATGCCATTATCGCAGGAGTGGGTTCCTGATACAAAGGATGAGCTCGGCCCCCTTCCTTTCTTGCTCTCTCACATGCTCACTTGGCCTTCAGCCTTCTGCCATGAGATGACGTCATAAAAGACCCTTGTCAGATGGCAGCACCTTGATACTGGACTTCCCAGCCTACAAAAAACCTGTGAGAAATAAATTTTCTTTCCTTATAAATTAACCAGTCCGTCGTATACTATTATGGCAACACAAAACAGACTAAGAGAGTACCCAAAGAATTAATGTAGAAATGGAGGCCTGCCACTCTGTCTGTGGAACCAGGGAAGGCATTTCTGGGCAGAGCTGGCATTTGAATTGGCTCTTGAAAATGAGTATGCGCACACAAACATTGCCTAGGAAAAGACTACCTAGGATAGCAGGAGAGCGAGCCCCTCCAGCATCCCTACATAAATTAGCCTTTGGAAGTGGGGAAGGTATAATTCTACTTTGGTTTTTTCACCAACTTTAACCACTCCCTATGCTTACTCCTTCAGAAAAAAAATCTTCTCTTATAACAAATAATATAATGTTAATTCAAAAATCATCACATCAGCCGGGCATGGTGGCTCACGCCTGTAATCCTAGCACTCTGGGAGGCTGAGGCGGGTGGATTGTTTCAGCTCAGGAGTTTGAAACCAGCCTGAGCAAGAGCGAGACCCCATCTCTACTAAAAATACAAAGAAATTAATCGGACAACTAAAAATATATAGAAAAAATTAGCCGGGCATGGTGGCGCATGCCTGTAGTCCCAGCTACTTGGGAGGCTGAGGCAGAAGGATCACTTGAGCCAGGAGTTTGAGGTTGCTGCGAGCTAGGCTGACGCCACGGCACTCTAGCCCAGGCAACAGAGTGAGACTCTGTCTCGAAAAAAAAAAAAAATCATCACATCAAAGTATGACACTTGTAATTGTTAGGGTGGGAACTTGTAGTGTGGGGCTGAGAAAGAATTCTTGACACAAAGATTAGAATAGTCCTAAAGAAAGATAGTTTATTTTACAGCCCAAAGGTGAGAAGGGTGCGACACAAGAGAAAGAAAGCAGTGCTGGACAGGAGGATAAGGGATTGGGGGTTTTGGGGGGGGGGGAGTAAAGGGAAAAGAAAGTGATTGCTGCCAGCTGATAGCAAAAGAGCAGCTGTGAAGTGGCTGCATCTCTTCTTCCCTTTTTTTCTCTTCTCTGTGAGGCTGGCTTATCAGTCTCTTTGGAATCTAGTCTGGTGGGAACTGGAGGGGGCTGGGAGGGGGGTTGCTCGCACCCCTGCTGTCTGCTTAGGGCTCTTCAAGGCTATTAAAACAGAACTCCACAGGGGGTTAAACAAACAAGGGGCTGTTGTGTGCTGTGATCTTTCTCTCTTTTTTCTGTTAGATAGTTTATTTTTCTCTCTGTTAGATAGTTTATTAGCAAGGCCATTCTTTCAGCAATTATTTGAAAAACAATTTAATCAACTAAGCTCTGCAGCTGGAAGAGGGAGATGAATTGCTTTCTAGGTGATTTAGGGGATGCTGAGCACATACCTATAACAGCTGTTTCTAGGATTCAGGGAAGTCCAGCCTTTCAAAGACCAATGTCTCATTGGTTTATTCTGCCAGAAGCTCCAGACTTGTCCATAAGGCAGTGACTATGAGGTTGGATGAATAACTGTGGATTTGATCCTCAAAATTACCACATCTCATCTAAAATGGGCCATAGTTGCAAAAAGTATATTTCATTAAGGAAGCAGCCATAATTGCTACCAAAGAGGTAGGGTGATTTCAAGGATTGAAAACCGTAAGGTACTAAAACAACACTAGAGGTTGTCTGACAGGAAGGTAGAGCAGACTCCTGAACTTAGTAGCACTTGAACTGAGAGTCTGAGAATCTTGATGCAATAATGGTCCAGAATTCCCTTTTCTCTTATTAGTCTAGTTACTAGTAAGCTATGGATCCCTCAAAAAACAATTCAGTATCACAGGACTTGGCAATTCTACTTCTAGATATATATCCAAGAGAACAGAAAACATGTTCATTAAGATTTTTACATCAATATTCACAGCAACATTCTTCATAATAGCCAAGAAGTGGAGACAACTGAAATGTTTATCAATGATAAATGGATAAAGTGTATATCCTTACAATGGAATATTATTCAACCATAAAAATGAAGTAGTGATTTATGGTACAACATGGATAAACTTTTAAGACATTGTATTAAGTGAAAGAAGTCAGACACAAAATGCTACATATTGTACAATTCCATTTATATGAAATGCCTAGAGTTGGGAAATCCACAGACAGAAAATAGGTTGCCAGAGGTTTAGGGGAGGGAGGAATGGAGAGTGACTACAAATAGGGTTGGGGTTTCTTTTAGGGATAATAAATACATTCTAGAATTAGACAGTGGTGATGACTGAAGAATTTTGTGGGCATACTAAAACTGAATTGTATACTCTAAATGGGTGAATTTTATACTATATCAATTATAGCTCCATTAAAAAAATAAAACAATTCAGATAGTTCAAACTTTATGAAGACTTCCCTGAACCTCCTGGTTAGAATTAACCACTCCCTCCTGTGCACAACCTTTAGATCACACTTTCATTGTGGACTTAGACATAATTTTTTTGTAACACACCAGCCACCTCTGAATATTGTGAGCTCTTCTGAGGCAGGACTATGTCTTGTCTATCTCTGTATCCTCAACTAGGCACAGTGCTTGAAACTCAGAATATACTGAATAAATACATGTTGAATTGAAGAGATTATTTTCTACGACTTTACAATCTGTAGTAATATTGAGCAATCCATTTTAATATAATAAATATTATGTATATACTGTGTATAAGACTTTGATGATATAAAAATGAAAGAGGCATAGTCTCTACCATTGAGGAACTTACACATTTTTGGTGAAAATAAGTTTACTTACATACCTACAATATAAAGCAGAAAATAAATGTCATGTGAATGGCATAATGATCCACACCGCATAGTTCAAAGAAGTAAAAGTTACTACCTTGGGGGTGATGGGGAAGATTTGGTAGAGGTAGTGGCATGAAAGTGAGCTTTAGGGATGTAACCAGGTTTTAAAATGAAAGATTCAGCTGAGGCACATTCCAGAGCTATTGTGTTGGACCAAAATGAAAACACTTTAAAAGCTGGTAAAAAGGCAAAAAGTGGTAAAAAGGGGTGGAGGGGTAGATAACTCTTAAATTGTCACGCACACTGATGGCACAAAGTGATGTTGAATTGGAGATCAGATAGGATTTCTTTGGAGAAAATTATTAGTTTTGAAGAATTTTACCCTCCTTAACTGGGATGGGGGAGAGGGAGGAGGAGAAGGAGAGGAAAGGAGAAGAAAGGAGGTGAAGGGATATCCACTTCTTAAATCAAACCAAAGGACAGGCCTTTGATGGAACCATCTGCAGAGCTTCGTGTGTATCTCCTACAGTTTGAGGGACACAGGGAATGCTGATTGGGTCACACTTGAGACATCTAAATCCAGAGGGTTGAGATGTGGGGAAAGAGCTGCAATTCCAGAGATTACTTGGGCAAACATGTTTCCTATCGACCAGATGTGGTCCACGAGGAAAAGAGAATTGGTGTGGTGTTGCTTAGCCCCTGATCAAAATGACCCCCTGAAGGAGTGAAATGCCTCAATAGAAGAAAGCTGGAGATGAACTGCTGCTGGATACCTAGAGCTGAAAAAGGTAGGGAAATGGAAGGCCTCAGAACAATCCATGAAATTCTCTGAAGAGAGAAATTGGCTTTAAATATCTGCAAAGGCCAGAGAGCACCAGCCTGATCACCTCCCCAGTACCAGTCAATTAAGATCTTTGCTAATACGCCTTCACTGGTCTCCCTCCCCAAGCTTCAGATCCTGTAGGGGTTAGAAGCAGCTTTAGAAAGATGGGAAAAGAAAAAACTCATAAGAGGAGGTAAGACAGAAGAAAGCAAGAACCCCTTACTCACTACTTTCAAATTTCAGACTTCTAGAAGGTGGCCAGTCCAGGATGGAGGAAAAGAGAAATTTCAACTTTAAATTAAGGTTGAAGTTATAATTCTTACCTAGGACTGCCATGTTAATTCCTGATTGCCACTTTGTTTTATGACTTAAAAAGTGATTGAGTACTTTCATTACTTCTGAGGGACAATCTCTGTTTTTTCTAGGGACAAGGAAGAAATAGCCCTTTGGTGGAGATTTAAAGAGACAGTGGAAATCAAAAATGAATTTGCTTTAAGAATCAGTTCTACCAGTTGTGCTTGTTCAATATAAACATTACAGGTAGAAATAGGAGAAGGAGCCCTGAGCAAAGGAATAGAGGTAGCCAGATCCAAGGTCTATTTCGAAAAGGACACATAGACAAATTCTACCTCTGGGATGCAGATAGTGAGAGGGATGCTAAAAACATAGACGTGAAAGCAATTGGACAGGCTTCCAGTACCAAATTAAAGAGTCATTTAAATAGTGGAGTATAATTTCAGTATATTTTGGTATTTATCTTAGATAATATGTTTTAGGTACTCGAGATCATTAAAACTAAGTATTTAATACTTTTTATTTATTTAATTGGTGAGTAAAAATTGCCTATATTTATGATGCACAACTACATGATGTTTTGACATGTTTATACATTGTGAAATTGATAAATCAAAATAATTAACATATCCATTACCTTTGGATATAGACCCAGCAGTGGAATTGTTGGATCATATGGTGCTGTAGTTCTAGTTTTAATTTTTTGAAGAGCCTCTGT